GTTGAGGAAGCTTGGGGACAATGGCCCCTCAAGTCTATAAACTTTTATTCTTCTTTCATTGAATTTCATAAAGTGTTTTCAAACCAACAAAAAGTTTTATATAATGCTTGTAGACCCATATAAAAGAAATTGACTCCGAATGGAATCGTAAATGCATCATTGGATAAATGTGATGTGATATTGTATCGGAGTTAATATGAAGAGTATAAGTAGAATTGTAATAACTCTGTACTTGAAGATAGTCTGTAATACAAGAAATCAAATATTAATCGTGTAACATTTATATTTTTAATAATAACTTAGTTTTATTTTTTTTTTCTCCAATTAAAGTGAATAAAGAGAAAATAAAACAGATGTAGGTGTGAATTAATAAGGTTGTCAACTTCGTAACTATAATACATAGAAATTAACTTTAAATGGGATTATAAAAATCATATATTAGTTTGCTATTTAACAAAAAACTATGATTTTTCATCAAATACAATAGGGGAGAAAATGATTCTTGCAATTGGTTCGATGGAGCTTTGGCTAAGATATTAAAAAAATAACACCCCCCCCCCCCCCCCACAAAACCAAAAAAAAAAAAATTACACAAGGAAAACTTGGTCAAACTTTGTAATGCCTCGTAAAGTGATGTCACCATGCACCCATACATGTACGTGCATGAACCTAGACCAAACTAATCTCTTTTATCTTCATAATATATTCCTCAAGGTAGCTTATCCACCATACCATTATAGTATAACTTCTACGTATAAGATATGTTCCATCCACATGCGTAGATTTCGTATCACCCATTTATATACCTCAAGAATGAAAATGTTAATGTTATGGGAGACCATATAAAAAAAACCTTGCACCCTTATTCAAAGTTTGTTGGAGCAATTGAACACCTGATCTCAACAAGAATTTAACGACATTCATATGTATATGAATCAATTTGTAAAATAATATTTGGGGAGTCAACTTAAATGACGTGGGGGGTATTTAGGGCAAGGCCAGCAAAAGCAAACCCTAGATCTGCCACAAGTAATTACCTTACCTTAATCAGTACATTATTGTCTAAACAAATCTTGTATATTATTATTGATGACGAGACATTGCATGGACTTGTCATAAAATAGAAGGTACAGAGACTATGCCACGGTCGCAACCAAAGGAGAGAGATGATGTTTGGCTTCATTTTTAATCCTGTGCTGCCATTAAAGCCGGCACGTACCTACCGAAGTTTTACTTTGAAACTATATTGTTTAATGTTTTTAAACCTTTCAGTAGTCTGATAAATATTTTTAAACCCTAATCTTGAGCTGCCATTAAAACCGACATGTATCAAAATTATTTTTTGACATCATACCTCTTTTATTATGTAATGAGGATATGAAATGTATGAATTGCTTTTGTTATTTCACTTATTTTATTATTTTCATGATCGATAACTACAAAAAAAAAAAAATTACTTGAATCTGAAATTACTTTTCAATTTGGTACTGAAAATTATTTTCAATAAAATCATGAATCCTGCGGAGTTTTGGTAAACAGTTATGGCCTGTCTAGTATATCTAGAAATTGAGCATTTATCATGGTCACTGTCATATCCTGCAGAAGTATAAAAAATGTGTTTCTAGAACAATAATTGATTATTAATGTAGGAAAGGTAAACCTGTAAGGCAAGCAAAGCAGGCAAACATTGCTTTGACCTTGATACAAACAAATCTATGTAGAGTGTGTATATATGTATATATTTGACCACATACTTGATCGTTAGATGGAAGTGGATGAAGTGAACACCAGAATTTCAACGACTTTGAAATGGGTTCCTCTTAGTGAGCCCTGGATTTACCTGCTTGATTGCTAGTACTTCACATATGGTACCATGGTTGTTACTCCTATATTACTTGTACGTATTCTCCAAGAAATAGCCTGGCAGGGTTCAAGACTAGAGCCGCTAACCAATTCCAGTAATTCAATTTTGATTCGGTTTTGCTTCCATTTTGGCTTCATCTATCCTCATTCAAATTGCCCAATGAATCGAAGTTGATCAGATTTTAACCACATTTTGTAAATGAGTTCGATTCAACTTAAATAGGTTGATATTAACGAACAATTCTAATTTTAATTCTAAATAAGTACTATTTGTAACATAAACAACTTTAAACTAAGTAGTTACGGACCATATACATTACAATCTCCCTCTCTTTTTAATAGATTGTTAAGAAAATTGAACTTTTACGTTGTTTGGGTATTTTGGATAATGCTAGATTGATAAAAAAAAAAGATAAAATATAGAACAAATAATGTGATATTACCATAATAAGAAAATTTTGAATTTTAAATAAATAAAAATAAAATCTATAACACCATTATGTTAGTCTTTTTTTTTTAATCAGTCTAGTATTACTCTAGGTATTTTTTTGACGAGAAGTTCAATGTTTTCAGACCTAGCTGGATGATTCTCAATTAAAAGTCATGCACAAGATATACGCAAAATTAGCTGTCCAGTGGCCAAAATTGGGCCATGTGTATTCGTGGTGGCTGGTGTGGGTGCTTCACAGCTTCTGTTGAATTTCATCGGCAACAGAGAGCACAGTGAAGAGGGAGAGAGAGAGAGACTTTGTTGACTTGTTTTCACAAATGAAGGACACTTGTCAATAAGGGTACGTGGCTGGACTTTAAATGACCTCAGTGGGTCCCAACATGCAAAGGTGGCGTTTAAAACAGTAACACGTGGTAAAGAGCGTGCTTAAGTAATAGAAAATTGATGTACGAAGAAAATAAGCCTGTAGAGTCCTGGTGATTCACAAATATTTATACACAAATCTTCAAATCCTTTACATTAATATTTATACGACGGATGTACTGAAACCTAACAACTTCGCTATACAAAAAACTATTCTCAACATCCACACAGTTATGCAGCTTGATGATAAACCCAAGTCTCGACATAGGAGTAAATTATCTTTCTAATAATAAATTACTATACTTACCAGAAAAACAAATAAATTACTACTAACTCCAATGAATAACTCAAGTGATAAGAGAAATGAACTGTAAATTCAGACATCTTAAGTCTGAATCTTGATAATTCATTAGATCTAAGTTTTGAGAAATTTAACTCTCAAGAATATCTTAGTTCTGACGTGGATAATCTGTCTTTGATCGGATTAGAAAGAAAATTAGTTAAAATGTACGTAAGTTGATCCGAACATCTCTGGTCATTGAATAAATAATAATAATAATAATAATAATAATAATAAATTACTATTACCGTCAAACAAATGGCACAACATGCACTTACTCACCAAAATATCCGCAAAATCTAAATAAGGTGATTTAATTTAATATACGAAACTTTTAGTATTATGAAAATTAAAGAGTATTAAATATATACAATTTTAATCCATATATGAAAGGATTGTTTTTAAAAAATTAACACCCACAAGCTAGACAACAACTAAACTCAACTTGGAAGGTATGGGCATCATACAAACAGTCGACTTTAGGTCTCATATGTGGACATGTGTTGAGGTATACTTGAACCCTGTGTCATGCTGATGGAAGAAACGAAATCAAGAAAGTTATGTGAGAGGTCTCAACAAAGAAAGAAAGAAATTCAAAAAGTGTTTTTGAAAGACAGAAGGAAAGAATACGAAGAAAAGAAGCATTTCCTCATAATTGGTGAGAGATGTAACAACCTTACCAGCCAATCAGTCTCTTCAAGGAGACTTTATGTAGAGTCAAACCCATTAGTTAGTTGACATTTGTCATTGCCTTTTAATCATATTTACCTTGACGTAGTTCTCTTTTTGGGATTTGAGGATGGCACCGAAATTCAAAATTTTGGTATCATAACCAAATTTATCATATTTATAGTAACTTTTATCATATTTGTGTGTATTTTTATTATTGTTATGGTACTAAAAAAAATAGTAAAAATAGTTCACAACAGTGATAAAAATATTCACAAATATAATAAAAATACTTATAAATGTGATAAATCACCTACAAAAATAATAATTTCTTTTTTGTACTTAAGAAAAATGATAAAAATAATTTGATAAAAACCCCTATAACAATGATAAAAATACCCACAAAATAATAAATCAATCACAAAAGTGGTACATGTTTTGGTTGTAAAATGACCGACAAAGTTGTAGAAACACCTTATGAAGTAATAAATTTAAAAGTATGGTACTGAACTTTTTTTGACGAGAAGTCCCTCTTTTTGAGTTATACAAGTAGACAAAAAAAGCAAATCAATTCTATTTGATTTTAATCTGCTGTTTGATTTATTAATTTAATTAATTATTGTCATTAGAATGAAAATAAATTTCAATATTAGTTGCTATTCGCTACTAATCAAAAGTTAGTGATTAAAATTAGGTCAATAAAATTATATTTAAATAGTATTATTAGAAAAAATAACCTCATCCATGTCCCAAAAGAATAATGTTATTAAAACTCAAACATCTGATTTAATTTGTTGATCACATATGTACCAATTGACATAGTTTAACAACATTATTAACAATAACTCTTAAAAAAAAGTCCAAGCGTTACATTTATAACAACATTATTGAATCACGTCACTATCATATCATTAAATTAACAAACTAGATCAATATTTTAGATCCCAATAACATTCCTCAACTCTTAAACCACTTCCTTGAGAAATGATGGTTCACAAACTATCCAAAAATTTTAGATCTCAATGATGATTCACAAACTATGCAAGAACTTTAGATCTCAAAAGTTTTACTCAAAAAAAAAAATGGAGAGAGAGAGAGAGAGATGGGATGACGCAGCATGAGGGCGGCGCCAAATACTATTGACTTACAATCTATTTGCAACATTTCCTTCTCATCTATATATGGGGGACATTTTGCCCATTTAGACACCCAACTTTTATTTCTGCTGCAGAAGTTAACTTTCTATCTTTCGTAGCATTCTTGTGTTCCTACTTCCTATACAAACTTCCATTTCACCTAAACTAAACTAACCAAATGGGAAGATCACCTTGTTGTGATAAGAATGGACTTAAAAAAGGTCCATGGACCTCAGAAGAGGATCTTAAGCTCATTCAATACATTCAGATGCATGGACCAGGCAACTGGAGAACCCTTCCAAAGAATGCAGGTACTTAATTTTTTACATGATTCTACATTCATTTATCTGTAGCTTCTATGATAAATTATATATAACTCTATGTTTTTTGTTCATGTTGGATGCTAAATTTTATAGGGTTACAAAGATGTGGAAAGAGTTGTCGTCTTCGTTGGACAAACTACTTGAGGCCTGATATCAGGCGAGGCAGATTTTCCTTTGAAGAAGAAGAGGCTGTAATCCAATTACACAGTGTTCTGGGGAACAAGTAAGATTATTATTCTTTTTAGGGCTTCAAAGATTATGTTGCACAAAAGAGAATCACTTATATTTTTGATCTATAAGGCTATATCAGTTCCAATCTTCATGAAATCTAAAATAAATGTACCTTTTCATTTTGTTTCATCTCAGATGGTCAGCCATCGCAGCTCGTTTGCCCGGAAGAACAGACAATGAAATCAAGAACTATTGGAACACCCATATTAGAAAAAGGCTACTCCGAATGGGTATTGATCCGGTGACTCATAGTCCTCGTCTTGATCTTCTAGACCTTTCATCTTTACTCGGCTCAACTCAGCTTAATCTTTCAAACTTACTCGGGCTTCAAGCACTTGTAAACCCAGACCTGATGAGGCTTACAGCTCTTCTAGCATCAAGCCATGAAAACCCTGATTTGATATTGCAGAAACTTCAAGAAAACCAAATCTGCAATACCCAATTGCAAAACCAAAGCCAAATGTTACAACCCAATCAATTTCAAGCTCTTTCCCATGAAGTTCCTACTTGCAACCCTTCTAGTAGTGTTGCTAACTCATCATTTCTAAATCAAACACTAATGATGCAAGGGAACATGGGGCAATTTTCGGAGAACACAGTGAACTTGAGTTGCGAAAATTTCCAAGAAAATTTGGCATCTTCAGATTTTACTGGAAATTTTGTTACCCTACCAAATTACTTCTATTCCGAGACTGATCAAATCCTGAAAGATGCATCAGAAAACTCAACTTTCCAAACGTTGAACAATAGCAGCAGCAGCAACAGTAGCCAGAATTTCAGCTTTGAATCAGTTATATCGACGCCATTGTCAAGCCCAACGCCCTTGAATTCGTCATCCAAATTCATCAACAATGCCATTGAAGATGAAAGGGAAAGCTACTGCAGCAACTTGATGAAGTTTGAAATCCCCGAAAGTTTAGACTTTGATGATTTTATGTGAATACTGTGTAGATCTTTGTGATCATTGATGTGGAACTATGCTTTCTTTTTTCTGGTTTCTGGTTCTTCCGGATTTTGTTGTTAGGGTGTTGTTAGCTGCATTATTTTGTAGTTTTATAAAACCTCTGTATAAATAAAACAGTATCCTATGTTCTTCAGATGTAGTTGCAGCTGCACATCAAAATTCCCTTTTCTCTTCTTTTTTCTTCATTATAAGAACAATAACGAATTATAATTAGCCACTGATTTCAGATTGCCAAGCTATTTAGAAAGAACTCATGAAGCTTGATCTTTTCAGATATAATGATCACCATTAATGTTCAAGCTTCTACTAAACTGGTTATAAATATGAAAAAAATGTGGTTCTTTGTATATATCCATAGGAAAACTGTTTTAATTAATAAGAATTTTTTTTTTCGAAATTAAAGGTAGCTTTTCATTTATGTGAGAAACTGTAGTGTACATCTTTAGAAAAACAAAACATAAGGGAATTTAATTGAAACAACCAGGGAATTTAATGTGAACTTTATAGTCTGCAACTTCCAAAATGAGAAGCTAGAAACTGTGGTCAATGCAATGTATGTGCAAATATCTACCATAGTAATTATTGATAATTACCTGAAAAAATGAATGAATAATTTTTTCTTTATTTCAAAAGTGGAGAGAGAGAGAGAGAGAGAGAGAGAGAGAGAGAGAGAGAGAGAGAGAGAGAGAGAGAGAGAGAGAGAGAGAGTAGTTAAGATGGATGGTTGTGTATCAAAGTTTTTTTTTTTGAGAAAAAGATGAAGCAAGAAATAAAAATCTCAAGGTGTAAAGTGGAAAGGGGAAGATACCAAAATGGGGATAAAAAAACCTCGGTTGGGTTAATATTAAGTAATACTACATACACAAAAAAAATGAGACTAAAAAGGGACTAATGATGTGATGGGCATTAGGGATTCAAGTTACAAATGTTCTGACCCAAAAAAAAAAAAGTTACAAATGTTTTTTAGAATAAAGTTAGTTTGCAACCCGTGAAAACATGAAAGAAAAAAGGGGCCTCGTCTGCTGTTTTAACTTTGGTTGTCGTGCAAACTAATGAATACTTGTGTTTTTCCCTAGTAATGTTGGATATTGTCGTGTTTGATATGGCCGGTTCTAACATTTGAGTTATACGATTTTCAAAACCAACAAGCGCTCAATTATAACACACAAAAAAAAAAAAAACAAAATTAAAAGGTCATTCACCGACAATCTATTGGTGTCATGATAGATTCGTGTTGAGTCATAAAATTATGAGTTTTTTATATTTTTTTTTCGCGTGTTAGGTCATTTTCAAATTCGTATTGAGTTCGAATCGTATTATCGTGTTGAATCAAAAATTTTCACCCTTAGTTACAATAATTTTTTTTAATTTAAATTTTTTATTATTTTATTTTATTTTTATTTTATTTTTTAAAATTTTTAATTTTTTTTATTTTATATATATATATATATATATATATATATATATATATATATATATATATATAATAAAGTAGATTACAATTCAAATCTCAAAAATAAACAAAATGACTTTTGTTATTCGCGGTTGAAATCGTTTGAAATTTTACTTTAAAGTTAATCTAACAGCTAATATTAATACCCTAAATTTAATAGGAAAAATAAGTCCTTACGGGTGTGTTTGGAGTGACTTTTTAAAAAATTTTTAAAAATTATTTCTCATAAATACTTTTAAAAAAAATAGTGTTTGAAATCACCCCACCACTACCTCTACCCCCCACTCGCACCACCACCACCACCATCGTCGTCGTCACTGTCGCCGCCACCACCATTGCCACCCACCACAACTATCACTGTTTCCTACCACTACCATTGACGCTCACCACCTCTCACCCCACTACAAATTGATACTTAAATTTTTTTATTTTTTTTTATATTTGTGATTTGATTTTGAATATAAATCATAAATATGTTTTTTGTTTACCATTTTTTATTATTATGTATCTTCAAGCATAGACAATAACTAGTATATATATATTTTATCATTGTATTTTTAAATAAAATTAATATATACATAATATATTGACAAATAAGATACATCTTAACACAAATAATTAACTTTTTATTCACTTTTTTTTTTATTTTAGTGAGTTGAAAAAAAAATTAATTCATCTATTTTTTTATTTCTTTATTTTTTTATTATATCAAACGAAGCATTACTGTTTTAAGATGGACAATACTTATTTCCAAGAGACCTCTACTTGACGTAAAGAAGCACAATTTCTCATCAACCCCAAAGTCTACCAATGTAAAGTCCTACTCTAAACATCACAGCTCAAAAGTGTAATCTTGTCTTGGCATGAACTTTTTCCAAATAGTCATCAATTTTTAGGAGAAGAAGAGAGGAGAAATACGTTAGTTGCTCCTGTGAATTCAATGGGAATCAAACCTGTTCTCACATAATTGGGTGACAAAGACGATTTTGTTGACTCACTTGTATATGTGTATTTTGTTCTACATGTTCTTACATTTATTAAAACACCGACGCTAGTCGGTCTAAAAGTTTATTTTAAATCTCTAATCCAAATGATGTGAAAGTTTTTTAGTCTCATTTAATAAGAAAGTCCGAACTATTCCGTATTAAGTATTTAACTTTTGTCACATTACTTAAAATTATTTGTCGTCATGCTTATTAAAAATGCTATGCATATCAAATTTATATTCTAAATTTTGTTCTAATGATGTTAAATAAATCCGGTGACACCTAGCTTGAAAAGAAAAAATTTGAGACAAAAATTTGGGATGCATAGAGATTTTGTAAAATCTATATATATATATATATATATATATATATGTAACAGTGATAAAGATTGATCTAATATTTATCATTTTCTTTACCTGACCTCCAATGTCAGACGATTCAAACAATACTCTCTAATGTCAAACAACACCATTAGTCCACACATACCTCTATTTTTTTTCTCTCTTACCTTTTTTTTTATATAGAAATTTCGCAATTAAACAAAATAACAAATTATTATTTAAAAAATATATATATTTATATTTATATTTTTTTTGGTGTTTTGGGTGGGGGGGTTCAGACATCATCGGAGTTGACGCATGTGGATTTTGTGATGTTGTAAATTGCGGGTCCAAGACGATTCCACGTAAAGTGCATATCTTATCAAAGACTACAAAATTTATTTCACTGAAAATTTTCTATCTCATAATAAAGGGTTGGCTGTTGAACTTTGTCGTCTTAGACAATGCTTTCCTCATACGTCAGGATCCATTGTAAGGTAATGCTATAAGCATCAAATGATATATCGATGATACCATTAGTAAAATTTAAATTTAAATTTAAATGAATAAAAGTGGAATTAAAAGTACTATTATGTTAGTGCTACATCATTTGGACCGTGTTTTTTTTTTTGTTGGTCTAACATTACTCTCCTTTGTGATATTAGATTTTTGGGTGGATGATAGTTTGCACATTCTCAAAATTTTAATTTATATTATGAAATATTAAAATTCTCACATTACACCTTTAATTAAATAAAAATGTAGCAATGTAGTCCAAAACTAAATTTTTATTACCTTTTTTGATAATTTTTTTGTTTTATTTGTCCAATTATCATATTTTTATGCACACTTGTTTACATAATACTCAATTTGAAGTATTTACAATAAAAATTTGGTACTCAATTTTCTTAAAATGGATCACATTGATACTTTTTAATTTGATTTAGGGTGCAGTCTGAAAATTTCAATCATTTCAGGGTCTAAATTGAGAATGCAAATATTTTTTTGGGGTACAATGTGTCATTTGTCCATTCTTATATTTTCTAAATTTGTTCGTATACCTTCCTTATCAAGGCCCAATGGCTCATTGTACTGGACTTTGAGTTTTCATGCAGGCCCAAAATCTCCCTGTAAAATGAATCAAGATATGTTGTCATGGGTTTGAGTTTTCACGGGCTCGAGCTCAACCCATGGTAGGCTCGGACGAGTTAATCAAGATGTGTTGTTTTTTGAAGCTTGCTAATTAATGAGCTCATGGACTAGAAAGGCTTCAGGAGGCAGCATTAAGAGGGTCTAGTTAAATGAAAAAAAGGCAGCTTCTGCATCTAAACATTTTGATGTGAAGACACATGATTATGACACCATGTTGATAGTGTTTTTACCACCCAAAAATATTTTTTTCAGCAAAACGGTCGGGCAGGCTTCGACTGTGTCTCCGCTCGAACTCTTTTAGCTCGACCTCGAGTAAGTGCAATGTATATTATACTTGCTCGCGTAAGTCATTGTTTATTACACCAATATTTTCGAAGGACAAGACACACCAGTGTGTGCATGTCATCACAAATCAAACCAGTGATAATCATTTGATTCAAGGTGATTTGATTGTATCAATAAGAAGCAAATAGTTATATAACTGAGAATGTCAATGGTATGCTTAATGCCAAGTTGAAAAACTTACATCTTGGTAAGTCTCTATTTACATAATGACATTTTTTTCCCCTCATTGATCTGCAATCTTGCATAACTTTATGATACAGAATGCTAACCGGTGACGCGGAACATACCCCTCTCCCACTCTATGAAAGGAGGTCTAAGCCCACCATGGATCTTCACCAGTTCGGAAATCCGTTTCAACCCATGGAACAAACACTACCTTCCCTTCATCAATATCAGCATGAACCAGGGCCAAGGACTGTTTTTCAAACAGAATGCAGAAAATATTAGTGGTATGGGAGGCAAGTTGTAGTCAGCATTCTTTACTCACGCACAATCTATATAATAAAATATAATACAATATCAAAAGATAAATAAAATAATTTTTATTTTTTGTAATTGAAATGTTTTTAAATTTTATTTTAAAGTTAATCTAACGGCTAATATTAATACCTCAAATTTAATAAATAAATAAAAAAAAAACAAGACTCTAAGGGGCTAAGGATGACTTTTTAAAAGTGCTTCTAGAACTTTTAACTTCTCATAAATACTTTAAAAAAAATTGTGTTTGAAACTGCTCCACCACAACCCCCATTGCCCCCACCGGCCCCCCACCACCCCCACTACCTCACCACTGCCACTGTCCTATCATCATCATCCCCACGACCATTGCCGCCATCTCACCACCACAGTTACTGCCCTGCCACTGCCACCATCATCGCCACCCACCACCGATTGCTACCACCGCCACCACCCACCATCATTGTTATCTCATTCTTATATTTGTTACCACTACTAACATCATCCCACTATCACCATCATCTAACTACCACCGTCGCCCACCGTTAGTATCCATAACCACCATTATTGCCCCACCACCACCCATTACCATAACCCACCACCACATATCATTGCCCACCATCGCCGCCGGCAACTGTCACCCACCCCCACCACATCTACCACCAATCACCACCGCATTCACTACCACCAATCACACTGTCGCTTAGAAACACCCGCCGTCGCCCACCACCACCATCGTCATCGTCCACCACCACCATCGTCATCGTCCACCACTACAGCCACCACCACCATCATTGTTAACCACCATCACCGTCGCCCACCACCACCACAGTCACTCATGACTGCCACTACCAAAATCGTCACCCCAAACCCACCACCATCATCACCGTTGTCACCCACGACTGTCACCACCATCATGGTCGTCCCCACCCACTACAACTATCACCGTCTCCCACCACCACCACTACAACCAGTGCTTAAATTCTGTTCTTTCTCCTCTATATTTGAAATTTAATTTTGACAGTGAATACAAATATGTTTATTGTTGACCATTTTTTTTATTACTACATGCCTTCAAGTACTGAAAATAACTAGTTATTTTATATAACATGATGAGAGAACTTCTATCCATTGACATTGGTATAACCAAGAAGTTTATTCTTACTTACCAAAGGAGCAGGTCCCCTAACAACTTTCCCTTGATTGTTGTACTGAGACCCATGGCAGGGGCAGATGAACTTCTTTTCGGCAGTATTCCATGGCACAACACAACCAAGGTGGGTACAAACAGCATTGATTCCGTACGTTGCAAGAGTTCTATCTTTCTCCACAACAAGGTAGGTAGGATCACCCTGAAATCCATTCAAGTATTTTTGTGATAATATCTAAATTTTATTGATTGAGGGTCTTTGTATGCCACTTTTCTCCGTATTATTTTCAATATAGTACTTGAGAAGAATTTCCTCATTTAATTTTGAAGTCGCTTTCAATTTTTGCCAATGTCTACTCTTCTCTATAAAGACCCACTGAAGAGCATGGAATTTTCCCTTCCAATGCAACAACAAACTAATTCTGCTGCGCTGTAGGTGCTACCTTCAGACTCTTCCCCTTTCAACACACTTAACAAAAATAGGGAGAGCCTTGAAAATCAGAAGTAAATATAGCAGCAATGACCGATGAAAATCACTTATTGTTGCATTAAAGCACCAAAAATTCCCATTGAAAAAAAATTATTCAAATTAATTGGGGTTGGCTTTACCTTTTCTTAAAGTATGTATTCGTAGACCGACCAAATACATAGTTGGTAATTAGGATTTAGTTTCTTGTCACTTACCATGGTCAACTGGTAGAAATATGTACAAAATTTGCAAACCATTTCTTTCAGCAAGTCTTAATCAATACTAAGAAACAATAAAAAATTTACATTACCTTCAATCCTTGTGTAAGGGTACGGTCCCCAGGTCCATGGGTCTTGAGCCATTCGGCTACAAGGATATCATTTCCTAGGGCATCCTTGGCAATAACACCACCACCAGCACCTCCCGACCTGTATTTAATTTCCAATTAATGGAAAAATTTGATGAAATGAAGAATCCAGAAGGAACACCAGTTGCATCTGAATACACAAATAATGATGAAAGAAGTATAATGCCTATATCGCGATTGAAAAGATCTCTAAATGTGAAGTGATCTTCTTACAAAAGGGTCAATTTAAATTTAACGAGAGTTTATTTCCTTAATTTAAAGGCCAATAATTAATTCATGAGAATAATAAAAAGATTATGAGAATACCAAGTTTTGAAATTAATCCTTCTGCCTAGGATTGCATCAAAAGATTTGAGACACTTTATCTGACTTCATTTTTCAAGTTAAGGTATACTCAAACTTTTTTTTATTATGATGTCGTCTGCAAAACACGCTATATATACTTACTTGTTGAACAAAATTCTCACAGGAAAATGTTTTAAGAAAAACCATGTCAATTTCTCCTGGAAACCACTACCTGTGCATGTCCTCTTATTCAATTGTTCTGCAAAATCATATTTTGATAGCAAAGAAACATTTTGTCCCAATTACTTGAAGTTAGTGATGCAAACCATACTACGATATCCAGGTTTACAAAGGTCTAGAAATATACATTTTGTTCAATCACGCCTCAACATGCCTTTACAATAGTCATTCTTCCTGTTATTCCGACGATAATTTTAGCCTGAACATCACATCAGGATATTACTAGTCCTAAACCTCATGGTTGCAAAAGCTCACGACTGAAATAGTCCCTATACAGCAGCAAAGTTTGTAAGCTAATGCTTTGAACGCGTGGTGGTTGAGATACAATAACATACCTCCACAAAACCCTGAGTCTATCTGCTTCAATTTTGGGGATTGAGTTTACGAAACATAATTTATGAAAACAGTCAAATTTTTGGGAACACAAGTTCTTTTAAAATAACTAAAATGATGATAGAAACTATGAATTGTTGTTGAAAGAATATCTATGAAGTTTGAGTTTCGCATGCATCAACTTTCGGGTCAAATTTAGTTTCATAAGCGTTTAGGCTTGAAAAGGGTAGGTAGGTAAATTTTTAAAAGTTTGTAGATCAAAATAATGTTATCATTAAATTTGAGAGGACGTGAAACCTTAGTATAGTCATTCGATTCGTATGGCAACTCAAAGATCACCTCAAATTTTCTTAGAGGTTAAAAATTAAAGAAAAGAAGTTTGGAGGTGTTCCGGGACTTAAAACACATTTTGAAGAGAATTTAGGAAGGAAATGATGTAATATTATTTTAGTATTTTAGCCATAACTTTTTATCCTTATATCCGATTGAGCTGAATCTTGTGGCATTGGAAAGAAAACTTCAAGCTCTATAATAATTTTGTGAATCAACTTCTAATTAGATCAAAACTGGGTAGAAAGTTTGTACAAAAGAATAGATCCATCTGGATGAGATTTGGGTCCGGACACAACTTTGGATTTTTAGACAGTAAGTTAGTCCATCTGGATACGCCTCCCAAAACTGGGATTCTCAATTAGCATCATTTAACTTATTTTTGGCACTATAAATATCCTAGGGACTAGGTTTTAGAGTTTATTCTACACGATTTTCAACCGTTGGAGGCCTAAGAGAGACTTAGAGAGAAGAAAGATGACAAAGAAGAGGAGATCAAACTAAGGATCGTTGGGTTTAGCGTGTGGGAAACAACGTAACACACTTTAGGCTCAATTTTTTATGAAAGCAATGTAGGGTTTCTTCCCCTTTCTTATTCATTAAGGCTAGGACTATCATATATGTACTTTTGATTTTTATTTGTATAAGTAATATAGATCTACATTAATTTTCAATTTTTATCGAAAAAACATGATGAAATTTTATTGAAAAATAATTTATTTTAATTCCGTGTACATTTTGAGTTCACTAACCCTAAATCTTGAATAATTATAGCTATAGAATGTGTTTCCTACGATCTCATGCGTGTTTTATTGAAATTTTCTTTACTTTAAGAATTGTGGAAATTGTTATTTGTGGTACATGTGATGTATTTGAAAAATATGATTTAAATCTCTTGTATTGGTGGGCTTGATAAACTTGGATGCACTGGAACTCATATCGCATAGTGTTTTAAATGTTTTTCTCACCTTAAGGGGTTTGAAGGTTTCTTATCGTAGTGGGGTGTTGGTTCCTTGCGAAATTCCAAACCACTATTCGTTCATGTAAGATCGAGGTTAAGGGTTAGTAAACTATTCCTGAAAAGATTTCGTTAAATAATAATGTGTTAATATACGCACTTCCTAAAATGATGTAACCCTTCGAAAATTGATTGGATGGTACATGTTTACGGGGGCAGATCAGATATATTCGATATGTGAATTTTTACTAATCAACTTGCGTACATCATATATTTCTGTTAAAAGTTGTTTATTCTCTGAATAATCCATTCTATGATGAAATTTTTTTACATGTATTGAAATTTGACATCGTTATTAATGTCACATAATTCACTTCAAAGTTATCTACGTTTATTTTGGAAAATTGAGACCTACATATTTTTCTTATATTTCTAAACGTTGTTTAGGTATAGAAAATTTCTCTGAGCTAGTTGTACTCACCCTTAAATATTTTTCAGATTGGGGTGTTGAGGTTGATACCGACATACGTGAGCATGTGGATTTGGTTTTTGAAGCGAATCAGGATGGGATCCAGCCTTTGAGGCCTAAGGATGGAGGATTTGATTTATTTTAGTATTTATTTTGATGTTGAGAATAAGTTATGGTTTGTCATGACTGAAGTAGCTAGATATAAGTTTCTTTTTGAATAATGTTGAGGTACTTGGATTGTACCCTTTTTCATAGTTGAATTATCGTTTTTGAGATTCTTAGTTAGATGATATTGGATATTGTTGTTTTGACACATTGAATTATATTATTAGGTATGCTCTCATGGTTTAAAAGTTATTAGTGGAGTTGGCAATATCCCTTTCTAATATCATGGGATGCCAAACAATAAACGAAGAGCAGAGAATAGCTAGCCCTTAAAACATTTTTGCAGAAATTAAGCAGATTCTAAGAAAAAACCAACAAAAGATTTACATTCTCAACCTTGTTTATTGTTCATGTAACTCTAAGAATCGACTACTATCTCCAATAATTTTGCCAAACAGAACACTGGTTCTTTTTCTCTTGTTGGCAAGTTACCAAAATTATGTTCGGAGAAGATGATATCCCATGAAAAATTTCAGCGTAATACACTGTAACGCTCATCTATTTGTGGGTGTCTGTGTCTACATGTGTTTAGTTCCAACTGAATTTAGTGGAACTACATGTGATATGACACAATAAACCTCAATTCCTTCAACTTTTACTGGTATGTTTTTCTTTGAAAAAAAAAAAGCCAAACATTAACGTATATAGAAACATATTACTATATTTGACCTCCATAAAGACAAGGTCAAGTCGTCAAGAACAAAGAAAATTGGGTCGGCATATTGATGAGGAGGAGCAAACTTACCCAGGTGGGACAAAGAACGTGGCATAAGGGACCAACATGGCAGCAGTGGGAAGCGAAAGAGTACCCAAAAGGAGCAGATTCATGAGCTCCCTCTTACTCATATCCGGCACTCGATCGGCCGGAATACTGGTGGCCATGGACGCCACCCTCATCCTCTTGTTCTTGCCTACGACATGGGTCCTTGAGGGCTTCACAAGCAGTGCTTGTGAAGGAGAGAACACTCCATTCTTGCTAGAACATAGCTGATAAGAAAAACAGATATATTTGAACCACAATATCAGATCATAGTCCTGATAATGATATAAGCACAGAAGGTATTTGTGACAATGTCACAACGAGATTTATGCTTTGATGATGAGTTTACCTGAGAAAGGGTGACGGAGGATAGAGTGGAAGAAGCCATGGAAGTGATTGGAGAAGAGGGCGGTATGTAAAGTTAACAAGGCGTGTGGTGATCATTGTCAGTTTTGTAGATAAGAAGTGAATATACAGAGACAGATGGTTTCCGACAGCCACATATTTGGATATCTTTAGCGTCGACTGGGCAAAACCGCCCATGGGCCGTCAGCCGGATGGGGTGGTCCATGGGGTTTCGGCCTCTTTAATCCCTCCATCCCCCAATCTTACTAAGAGGTGTTATTTTCATTCTCAAAAATTTTTATTTTTACCTCATTAAATTTTTTATTATTAAACTGTAACAACAAATTTTGTGAAATGAATTAACACAAAATAAGGTAAAGTTACAATAGTCAATTTGATTGACTTTAAGTAAAAAAATATAGTATTTGACTCTCTTTGACGTGCTTCTCATGTGTATTTTCTTCTAATTTTCGGTGGATTTGATAATGATGATGGCCGAATCGACGTGTTTTCTCGATCTTTAATTGGATGTTAACTTTAGTAAATTTGATGAAGCTAAGAGCTTGACCAACGTGTTCCTTAATCTTTGATTTGGTGACGCTTTGGTAGTTTTGTTGTAGACAGGAGTCAGATTGACGTGGTTCTCATTTTTCAATCTTTGCTTTGGTGGATTTGTTGAGGAAGAGGGTTAGATGATGTGAATCTCGTTCTTCGATATTTAATTTGGTGAATTTATTGGATCTTCTCACCGTCCTTTATGTTGAATGACTGAAAGATAATTTGAATCTCTTGAAGAAAGACCTTGATAGTTTGCTCTTCTCTTTTTGAGATAGATTTGCAAGACTTTGGTTAGGGGTAGACTTCGTTGCTGATCTTTCCTTCTCCTCCTGAGATGGACTCAGGCAGAACTTCTTGATCTTCCATCCTCCTTAACTTCTCTTCTTAGCCCTCATTTTTTTCTCTCATAAACCACTATTTATAGTGTTAGGAGTAATTATCCATATAAAGAGTTCTTATTACTTTTATATGGGCTTTAGATAGTGAGCTACCCATAAATTTGTAGACTTTAATTAATTTATGAAAGTCTATCACATTTTACCTTTTGAAAGTTTATTTAATTTGGGTCTACGGAATTTAAGTCTATTGGAATTTAACAAGCGTGATTAATTGCATTTGGGTTTGTATTATTTAGGTTATAGAATTTAGGTCCAGTTTAATTTAATTTGACAAGCCTTATTAATTAAATTTGGGCTTGTATTATTTAGGCTATGGAATTTAGGTCCAATCCAATTTTATTTATCTAATTGATTTGAGTTCAATTATAAACATTAATTTTTTATTTTTTTAATATCTACAAATACCCCTCGAGACGTATTTACATATTTTATATTTATTAATATGTAAATGAGTCTCGATTTATATTTCGATTTAAAAGGAGTTTGATTTAATTTAAATTTATTTATGTTTAAAAAAAAATATTGTTTCATGATCAACATTGAATTATAGCATATGTTGAACTCATACTAAGCCATTATTTAATTTTGTTATTATTTTATAGTCTTCTATCACTTTAAAATTTTAATTTACATTAAAGTCTTGATAACAAGTCTTTTTCTTAAACAAATAGACCTAAATTATAGACTCTCAATTTGTCTATGATTAAAGTACAAAATCCTTTTCTAACTTGAACCCAAGGACCTAGAATGTCTATATATTGAAATCACCATACTCAAACAAACACAGACTTTTGTTTTTGTATCATGTATATATGACTCTAATTAATTAATTAATTAATTTTTTTTTATCTCCAGTGGTTCCGCAGCCTTGCTTTGACAACCTTTTGGACTTCCAGGTTTGTTTTTTACTTTTATCTTTCTTTGCTTTATATTTTTTTTTAACTCTCTTGTTTAGTCTTTTTTTCGTTTTATTTGATTGTCACTGCATTACACTGTCATACGCCATTTGGTTTCTTCATTAGTCAAAATTTTTGTTTCAGTCATTTTTCTTGAAGAAGTATTATTCTTTACTTATAACCAAAGGTATGTTGTCTTTCTTTTTTTTTTTTTTTTTTAACAATTTGTAGATTTATGCTTTACAACCCTTTTTTTCTAGAATTCTTCGATTGTATTTTTCATCTTTTTTTGTATTATTATTTTTTTTTCCGAATTCAATCAACCTTGTAAGTATATTTATTACACATACAAGTTATAAATTTTTTTTTTCTTGCTTTGTTTTCATATGTTGACCAAGAGGGTTGATTCTTAGTCACCAAGCTTTCATTACTGTCATGGGTCATTCAATCTGTTTTTTATTTATTCATTGTATCTAGTCTATATTTATTTTAAAGTTTTTTGTTTCTTCACAATTTTTTTTTCAACCAATTAGTACGATGATGAGTTTTAGTCATCCTTTATTTATTTTATTTTTATTATTTTATTCATTAATATGAGATTTTGTTTATAGTATGTCTTTTTTTTTTTCATGAATTTGCTTCCTGGATTTGTGACTTGTGTTGTCAATCCTTTCTTTTGTTTTAGTTCATTATTAAATTCTTTTTTGTCTACTTTAGTTCTTTCCCTTTTTTTTTTTAAACTTCTCTTGTTTAATTCTTTGTCTAGTTCTTGGTCACAATTTTTTTTATTTTCATGGCTGTCATGCGTGACCTAATTCTTCATACTTGGTTTTGTTTTTTTCTCTTGTGATTTCTTCATTCTTTTGTTTTTATTGGTGGTATTTTTATTCTTGTTTTAGTATCATTTAGTTTTTTTTTTTGTTTCTTTATATGGTTGACAGTCTACACCAATGTTCTTCATTCAATTCAAGCTAATGAATGGACGGTACATTATTTTTCCCTTGCATGGAGTTGTCCAATATGTTTTCTCTTGTTGATATCGTTATAACCCTTTTTAAATTATTTATTTATTTATTTTTTATAATAGTTCTAAACATGTGTTTCTTTGTGAATTTTAACCTTCACAATTGTCAAACCTAATTGTTCATAACAATTGACCAAAAAATTTCATGTCCACTATCTTAAATAACTTTTTTTTTATTATTTTGCAAACCGTTTCTCTTTGTATGGCAACTTAATCAAATTTTTTTTCACCTAGGCCAACTATATTCAATCTAGTGAAAAGGGTTGACTTGTATATTTTAAAAATTTTTAATTGTCTATCGTGAACTTGTGAACAAGTTTATTTTGTTCAATCTGTCTTTTTTTCGTTAATCTTATTTTGGTCCCCACTTATTTTTCAATTGTTCTTGATCAAGACACGATTTTCTTGATACAATTTTTTTGTATTGAGATTTTGATCTAGAGAGCTTTACTTCGAGAATGTTAATTGTTCTTGATCAAGACAAGAATTTGATCTCAGGTATGTTTTTCATTTAAATCTTTTTGGTGTTTATTTAATTATTATTTTTTAAAA